CACAGACTGCAAGATCATGACCTGAGCCGAAGTCAGATGCCCAACCAACTGAGCCACCCAGGTGCCCCAGAACTTTTCATATTTATATATTCAGTAGTTGAACCTACCCATTGAAATGAAAATATCATCAGCAGTCACAAAAATTACTAGTTTGAAAATTCTTCCCGGAATATTGAAGCCTGACTTAATTTTTTCCAGCCATCTGTGTTGATAGCCAAAAAGCTGCATAAACTAGAGTTTAGGGCAAATTTTGTTCATTCAACAAATATCTGTTGAGCACCTACCGTGTGCCAAGCACTATTGTGAGGACTTGGGTGTATCAGTAAATGAAACAAAGATCCCTGCCCTCACGAAGCCACAGTCTGGTTAGGGGAGAATGATAATAAGCAACAGAATAATTGAATTATCAATATGTTAGAAAGTGATAAGAAATGTGGGGGCGGGGGGGAAGGAATATAGAGCAGGATAGGAAAGGGAATTAGGAGTTCAGGGTGGGTGAGGGGGCAAGTTACCACTTAAAATAGAGTCAGGATAGGCCTGCTTGGGAGGGTGACATGAGCAAAACTTGGAGGATGTGATGGAGTTGGCCATGTAGACACCTGCAAAAGGACATCCTTGGCAGAAGAAACAGTCAAGGCCAAGGCCCTAAGGCAGGAACTATCCTGGTGTGGTCAAGAAACAGCAAGGAGGCTCCTAGTGTGGCTTTCGTGGAATGAGAGGAGGAGGAGGAGATAAGGGATAGGCCAGAGCGTTAACCCCAAAATGCTGCCCTTTGGAGGAAGATGAAGGCAAAAATTGGCATGTGAGGAAATGGGCCCTGTGTAGGAGTGAAGACTCAGCTTGCACTTGTAGAACAAGTGCAAAGGAGCCGCTGGTGTGGGTGTGCCTTACAGGAATGAACGTCACGGGCTGAGTTGGAGCAGGTAGGGGCTATCTCATTCCCTAGCAGTAGGGCTTCCTGTCTGATCTGGAAGCTACTGAGCCGGCCACAGGTTGAGCTTCTCTCTACTGCCTCTCCAACAGGAGAGCGGCAGTGGGAACTATTTCCGCTGTCAACTATTCTCTCT